TGACAATTATGCTCGTAATTTACAATCATTATAGGGGAGAAAGGAGAGGAGAAACTTGTGTAATTTTACTATTTACTGTACAGATAGCAGATAGCGAGGAAAATAAAAACATCCGGGTTATGCAAGCGGAAAAAAGTATTTGCAAAATATTAAATAATAATTAATAATAAATAGTTATCTGTTAAAAATTTGCAGGTAATTAGTAAACAATGAAATATACTTATTTTCTTCATAAAAAAATCCATACAAACTACCTACTTCTTCTGCACAGAAAAGTGTCAATTAAAACTTTCAAAACTTTAAATGCGATTTTCTTTAAATTATCCCAATAAAAAACGAGTTTCAAATTTGTATTCAGCAAAACATAATAATAGTAGACTTTTATTTCGTACATACGAAGAAAAAAAAGTGAAAATTTGTTGTATGATATCACAAATATTACAGTTTATATCTGGATCGTAATATCAACCATTAAACACACTCCAACTAACTTTGTTTAGTCAAACAGAAAATGTATGTTAATTTACACTATAAGAGAAACAACTAGTTGTAGTTATACTGTTTTTCGAGTTTACCTTTTGGTTTAGAGTTTTATCTCACTTGGATAAGTATTGTATTTCGCACGTAATATTATTGTTTTGTTAAAAAAATTGTCCAAAAAATATGTATTAAGAAGTAACTTGCTTTTTTTCAACCAAGATTAATTTCACCGAAAACACTAATTTTCCATTAACAAATTATAAATATCTATTTTACATCTAGTGTATTATAAAAAAATATCAATTTTTATGTTAAAAGTTACTATTTTCCAATCTACATATACAGGGCTGATTCAAAATTTTGGAACAACTCAAGCTGAGTTCTGAGTACATACTAACTTATGGAAACCTCGTAGAATAACAACTGTTTCTAATAGGGTGGATCTTTGAAAAAAGGGAAATTTAATTACCTCCTCTACAGGTAAATAATTTAAAAATGCAACTGTTTTTTTAGAAACCAAACGAATTTACTCGTACATGCGAGATTCTAGGAAGATTATTACAAAAATTTATTTAAAATATATTATAAATAATACTTTGACCCTATTTGGGTCATTTCTTTTTTTTTTAGTTGTTTGTGTAACAATTGTTTTTGTTAAAAAAATGTACGAGTATGGTCTGATGTTCAATTGTGTTTAAAAAGATTCAAAGAAAGACAAGGAATGTGTATTTAATTTTCTGTATAATATTGAAAATAAAATATGTGTACAGCGAGTTAAAAAAGACTAAATTGTAGGTAAGAAACTAAACTGAGGAGTTAAAACATTGAAAAAACATTGAAACAACAAGCAGAAAGATGTGATGTAATTTGAGCCTTGTATATCGTGAGTTTAAGTAATCGCAATTACAGAAATTGGGTTGTTGGTGTTGCGATAATAATTGTTGAATTGCGTTAGAAGTGCATCTCAATTTTACTTAAAATTCCTAATTATTATCTATCAGCTTTCAAGATTTTTTTCTTATTTGTATAAAAACAGTAATTGGAGTGTGTGTCAAGCATTTACAAAAATATTCTGAGCTTGCACATGCCGCTTTAATTTATTTCAGTTTTAATTTGACTTTAAATAACTCGAATACTTTAATTAGAAGAAACTGTCAAGGTCGTTCTGCTGTCAGATAGGCACTTATTTCCCAGGCAATAATAGWTACGAATGGCTGCAATCTGCCATTGAAGACCTAACGGAACTAATTCCAATGATTATTACGGATTGCCATCAAGACAAATCTTGACAGAATCTCCCGAGAAATGCCATTTAGAAAAGTTCAAAGGAAGCTTGTGTAATGCGTCAAGCCAAGATGATGAGTACAGGACATGTCGTAATTATGCTTAATGTCTCAATATACGGCTTATACCATTGCACCTGTAATTATGAAACAAGATCGCAAGATACAATAAAAACGAGTTATATTATTTTATAAAATTTGCCGTCGTTTTGTAACAGTTGCTAGCTTCACTGTTGAAATGGGAGTTGGCACCAACAGCTGAGCTAAAATTGGGAAATTTGACTTAACCTACTTGCCAGAAAAATCGAATGATGGCGATGTCGCACCTTGGTGCTCGCCTTATTCGGCTCTGGGAAATTTGGCTTGTATGATAATGAAAAAACTTGACAAAACATATTTGATATTAAGGACGCGGAGCGGACTATTTTTCCGGCGCATCCACCATTTTTAATACGTGGAAAGAAAGAAATTTCTTTTACTTTTCCTAGTTAAAACAGGACGATTTCTTGTAAAAACATTTAGTAGTCACATCTATTTAATTTTATTACATGTAAGTTAATTATTCGGAACACGAATAAATTAGGTAAATATAAAAACTGTGAACAATGTGCTACTGCGTGTAACTTTCTTCTTTAATTGTTTAGTGAGGACATTTCCTTGTGACACAAATACTAAATTTACACTAACACCGATTTGAACGTTTTTATTACATTTCAGGTGACGAGCCTTCTCCTCGAGGCGGAAAGGAGAAAATTATCGGTTCTTCAGAAAGAATTACAAGTGGCTTTAGAAGAAGGAGGATCAATTAAAGCCAAGGAACACCAGAAACAAGAACTTCTAGTTGCCATAACGTAAGTGAATTAACTGCCTTGTATGTGCGTAATGTCGCATCGCTGATTTTTTGTAGAGTATAAATTCTTAAATACATTGTATATTGCTTTCCAGAACTTGTAGTTTTATTTCAAAGAAATTTAAAATATTTCCATTAAATAAAGGAGGTCTTTTAATGGCAAGAGTATACAATCTAAAATATTAGAATAATGAAAGAATTGATATTTGTTTTTGCTTTTAACTAAATTGGTTACAGTTTGAATTACATTTCTCTGAATATTTTTCTAATTGAAAGTGAACATCTGGATGTTTAGAATGCAAACAAATATAATTCCTATAAATTCCGGTTCGTTACGGCAGAGTTATTCAACGAAGGTTAACCTTTTATAGTGTCTAGAGAGCATCTTTCAATCATATTAAGCCGGTTCCAAACGGAAGCATCGTTTCTGTCATTTCATCTAATTGATTGGCGTAGGCTGACAAGTGATAACGATAATAACACCTATTTCTTCTCACTCGGATGTGCTCATACACTTACATAATATATCCAGAAAAAAAATCATTTGATTTAACGAGAGCTATTACTTAGACCACGTTTTAGATTATTTTTTTTAGTTTTCTACACATTAGTAACATCCGTTGAAAATTAAAATTTTTTCTCAAGATCTTCTTACTTGCAACTAACTGAAGCATAAATGTTTTTTATGAAAGTTAAAAAACACTGTTTTTTTCTTTCTTTCTTTATTTTCTCCATAAAGCATTTATAAAGGTGCCACACAAACCGCCCACAATAATTATAAAATCCATGCGTCTCATAAAACGGCATTGGCCACCCACAGTAATGTTTGTTTTCTTTTGAAATATCTTATACTGCCTCAAAATGGCACAAAATGTGGTATTTAATATGAAAGAAATTGCGCCTCAAGCAGATATTTTACATTGAATAAACAACGAATTTTTTAATCTTTAATAATAAGTGGGTAGAAAGATTACTTTACGGTTTTACTTCATGAATCATTTTTAGATTCAACAAAAATAAATTATTCTACTTTAAAAAATACCCATTCCGCTGCATTACTGGAAGAATTCAAAAAATTATTACGTTGTTATGTTGCTTTAGTAGATTAAAATTACATCTATAAAATACAATAATTTAACGATATTTTAGACACCAAGACAAATCAATTTTGAAATAGTAGATTTTTAAACATGATTTTATTTATGATCTTTGACTTCATGGAAAATTGTGATTTAAGTAATACCAATAATAAAAGTTAATATTGATTCAAATATTTGTTTCCTTTCTTTTCTACAAATATTATTTATGACATTTTGTATATTTTTAGATTAAGCAAAAACATATTATTCTTTTATTGATTTCTAATTTGTTTTATTACTATTCAAAAAAATCTATTAAAAATTCTTCACATATTTAAAGCAGACTACGCCATCTAAAATGTTTGCTCTTGACTAATGTTTGTTTGGTTGCAGACGTATCCAGGCGCAGCACGACCATTTAGATAAAGAATATCGTGAACATGCGCTAGGAGCTTTACTTTCAGCAAATACAAGAGGATTAGGAAAGGTAAGCGAAGGTGGATTATGGTTTTAACACGAAACAAAAAGAGTAGCATTAATGTTATAATAATAACTGATACTTTTACCTACGTTTTAAATTATCAAAAAAAAAAAAAAAAAGAAAGGACCTTAATGGAAGATAAAATTAGACTTAATTCTACTCATTTTTTTAATTTTTTTTTATAAAAAGTAATAAGTGCATTAAGGCTAAAAATATTTAAACTTAATTCAATACATTATTACGCACATAATTTGTTATGTTGTTTCTAATTAGTTATTGCGCGTTATTCATAAAACATTCATTATTTTTAATCGTTTATTGGTAACTATTCCCCCGATAAATGACAAGAAAAATACATCTTATTATAGTAATTATTTTCATTAAAATTTTCCGTCAAGGATATTTACTTAATTGCTGAGAACGGGTTAACTTTAGGTCGAAAATAATTTAAGTCGATAGTATCAAAAATGGGTGTTCGTTTACCCTTTGTATGTTTTGTGTAACTTATTGTACTGAACACTGAATAGTTTAGGGTGCCGATGAAGGGTAGTCAACAATAGAATAATTTGAGCGGTGTCAATGAACTTTAATAAGCAAAATCGCATTTCACAAATATGATTAATGGTTGTTTTTGTTAAAATCTAGTCAAATTAATTGTTGTATTTATGTTTTGAGTCATAATGAGCTAACCTGTTCATCCCCGTGATAAGCTTATCGAACGCGACGCCATGCGCCGCCAAGCGTCGTCTTATCCAACCTTGCTCGTAAGGGAGTCAACCCCAACATTGCAACGTGTGTTTGTTAGTGTGGTAAAACTGACGTGGGATTTTATTTACTAAATAAAATAAAATGACTTTCCACAAAACCTTAATGTTTCCTCATCAACGAAGTGCTATTATTAAGTGTCTAAAATTATGAAGAGTAGAATTAAAAATGTGCATCTAAGTGATTAAAATGCAAGAGTGCAGTAAACCTGAGAAACCTAAAATAATCGGACCTAAACCGTCAATTCCATCAAAACCTAAAATCGTACCACCTGTGAATGTCCGGGGCCAAAGGGTTGTCAAGGGCAACGAGAAGTGTTTGGTGAGTGACTCAAGAAGAGCATCGTTGTCGGAACACAACTCTAAAGAAATCCCAAAAGAAGTGAGTCGATCATTGTCCCAAACCGAAAAAAAGGAAGTTTTTTCGACCCGAACTTCCGAAAGTCTGCATCATAAAAGTGCCAGCGTTGAAACGAACGTCAAGTATGATGAATATTCATCCACTTACATTAGTGAAAAATGTGATAAATATAGTACAAGCTACGAAACTTATAAGAAAATCGAAGAGGTGACCCAGAAAGCCCCCAACTCCCCCAGCACCGTCTGTTGCAGTATCTTATCCAACGTAACGACAGACTGTTGCGGGATAATAAACGTAAACAAAAAGGAACTCAACGGCAAAACCATGACCAAAATAGACTCCCTCGACTCCAACTCCTCCGATTCTGGTGGTTTCAAAGACTTCATCCAGCTAGACCTCGTGAAGAAGCCTCCCGAGACCGAGCCCCAAATCCCCTCGCACCAACGCAAAGCCTCTCAGCCCGAGTTCCTCAATGACAAGTCCATATCAGAGCCCAGACCTTTCGGCCACCAGCGGAAGACCTCACAGCCCGACTACCTCTCCCCCGAAGTGCGACAATCCTTCGCTCAGAACAAGCAGACCTTCGTGGCCAACGCACAAGCCTTAGCGCAGTTTTTGCCGCAGACTGAACAGAAACTACTCCAACACAAAGCCTTCGACCGGGGCGACGACTCCTTTCGACAACAAATCGCCAAATTCGGTGCCGCGCAAAAGACTGACGAAATAAAAACGAAACCGAAACCCCAAATCATATCGCAAAGTCAATTCCAGCAGTCGACGAGAAAGTTGGAGGAACTGCTTTCACAGAGGCTGGAGAAGGATAAAGTCATTAGGAAAGGTCAAAACTGCCTGCTTGACGGCGAGTGCAGTCAGGATGTGGAACAGAAAATGATGGTGCAGAAGCAGATGCAGCAGAAGTTGCAAGCCGATTTGCAACAAACGGTTAAACAAATCCAGGAGATACAAAGCATCGAATTGAGGTTGCCACAAAACAGGAAATGGAGTGAGGTTTGTGTTTGTACAATCGGTTTTTTGGCCAGTTTAAAACTGTTCCGCTTATGTTACATCGTCACACATGCAGAAATTTTAAATAGAATTTTTTTATTATGTAATAATGATTTTATTTAATAAAAGTTAAATTGGAAAGAATTGAGGTGATATTAGCGAAACTATGATGGATTCAGTCTTGTCCCAGTTGTTTACTATACAAGTTTACATCTCGCACATAAAAAACGTGCTAATTTATTTGAAATTTACACATTCTTGTTTAGGCATTTATCTAATGATCCACTAATAGAAAAGGATAACGATGTATTTTAAACAAATTAATTTATAGTCAAAATAATAATCTTGACCTATAAAATAGTTTGGATTTTTGTTTACAGTTTTCAATCATTTAATGTCATATTTCCGTTTTATATTGGCCGTAAAATAACTTATAAAACTGTATTTTAAAATTACTGATGACCCTTTGATCTACATCTATAAAACATTTCTCGTAGTAGTGTAAAAAGCAGATAAATTTTAAATTCCTGGTTTATGATGACTACGCCCCAAATACGTCTTTTACTGCACCAAACCGCAGCATTTTTATATCCACTATTTTATTTTGCAAGTTTGTTTTTAAATTTAATTTAGTGGATGGGTGAATGTTTTCTGATGAAATATAAAATGAAAATATACTTTTGCGACTTATTTCTCATTGGATTTATTTCCTGACAGAAGTGGGTCAATCAGGAAAATTGTGTAGTAAAAATTACGACTGAAATAAATAAAACATTTGCTAGTTAAGACCTATAAGTGGCGTCAGATGGGTTAAAACTGAGATAAAACATCCACAAAACTTAATCCCAAGGAAATGAAACTAGGTCATCACAAGTTCGATAATCCATCACTTTAAAACAAAATAAAAACTTTAATCCTGAAAATTGTAATGTTAACACCAGTGGATATTTTTTTGTAATTATGAAAATAATCGTTTTTGTGGAATCCCTTCTTGATACATTTTTAATATTCATATTTTTGTGGTTCATACAAGTCGCTACAAAATTCTGGTTATATTTTGTGGTATTTTTGAACAAAATATTTTACCTACGACTGTGTCTAGGGTCGGTAAACCACATTTAAAGTTATAAATTGTAATTTGTCCTTAGCGCTAAAGCGGCTTGAATCCAACCACCTTTCATACATAATGATTAGACAGGCATTTATACAGAGACTTTTTGACGTCAGATTGCTTATTCGGAACTTAGATAGGCAATACTTCTTTGAACAAAGTTGAACAGTTTCTTGTCCTGTATTGTTTGGCATAGATGTTCAAACAATGCTGCTTCCTGTTTCACCGGAAGTGACATTGATTTCAGTTTTTTAAATAAAACACCCTGTATATTTTATTATCTCATTAAATTGTCCTTCAATAAGCTATTATTTATAACTAACTTTTGATTTTAGGCAATATGAAAATTAAATAAAATAAAATACATAGAACATTTGTATTTATTTTGTTTAAGACAAGCAAACGATTGATAACAAAAAACTGTTTAATTTTCATAAAAAAAGTATTGTAACGACTTTAAAAGAAATGAAATTATAGCTTGTGGCGTTTTGTATTATCTAGCCTGTATAGATTGTAAAACTAAAAATTACAGGTTGTGTAACTTGTAAAACAAATTAAATCTTTCTTATCGTAGTATCCTAATTTTTTGTTCAGTTTTTTTACAACAGTAAGTTCTTAGCTGTTGTAACTTTTTATCTTTGTTTTTCTATGTTTTTAAAAACAAGAAGCCATATCTTGTGGACAGTGTTGGTCCGAGGTTTTTGGGACAGCTATTTATGAATTATGTTGTGTTGGGTTTTAGTTTATACAATATAACCATAATTAAATATACAAATAAATTTGTTTTACACTTAATTTGCTATTGCAGCAAGTTTTAGTGATGAAAAATATTATGGTAGGAATAAGAAATTTAAAACAAATACATTATCGATTTTTGTTTTAAAACAATAAACAAACCTGACCCAGATTTAATCAGAAATGTGATTTTCTATTTTTGTGTTTACTTAGAACAATATCACATATCACATCCGTTTTCTAATGATTCCCTGCCACTCTAAACTAAATTATAATTTTCTTGGCAATGTTTAACGTTGTTGTCTGTTTATTATTGTCTGACAATATGAAGATTACATAATCTAAGGTTCTTATAAAAAGCTTGCATTTATCACTCCTAAATCAGATACGTTTTTAAAAGCCATTTATTCCACAAAAATTAAAGATGTATGATTTCACTAGATCCACTTCCTTCAATTAATTTGAATCTAGTATTATTTGTGAACAACTTTTCTAGTGTTTCTGCAAAATTTTGAGTAAAGTTTATTTTTAAGATGCTAATTTCACCTTGGTGTAAGGATCGTAGTTCTTGGAAGTAAATATCAACAAGGAAAATCCAGTTTTATTTCAATAAAGTGTCGTAAATCTGCTAAACCAACATTTATCAGGAAAAAGTTACCTGAGTAGAAAGATTATTTGCATATTTTACAACTTTGAAAACATAGGAATTGTAAAAGAATCTTTCTTTCATCTTTACTGGAATCGAGATGCTTATATCGGTGTGAAATCTTTCAACAGATAATTAATACTTTAATTTTACAATATGAATGTTGTACAACACATTATGTATAAGAAAATATTCGTATACCTATGCGTAGATTCAAATAAATACTTCCAAAGTAGACACATTATTTTATAAAGTTGCATCAGCATAACAAATTTTCAGATAATTTAGTGCACGTGTGTTTAAAACAATAGAAACAATGAAAAAGCAAACCTGACCTACATGTTGAGAAACTTTATATACGTGTTCTTTGAGTGTCTAGTACCATCTAATATTTTAACACATCACACATCTGTTTTGTATTGACTCATTGGCACTAAACCAAGTTATGAAACTGATGAAACAGATCAAATCTTTTATGACCCCTTGATTCGTTAAATTTCTTCTCTTTTATTTGCTATTTAAATTAAATTTTACCTTTTCAACGTCCAGAATTTCAATTAAATTCTTTTGTTTTGTTTGTTTTTAATTTCAGCGATCTTGGTGAAAAATGAAATCTTTTGAGAGTCGGCCTTTAATGAAGTTGTCTTTGCCTCATTAGCTGCATGCTAAGATATGTTTTTTACTTTTTTTATTCAGGCTTTCGAGTCGTTTTTAAATTAAATCTGCACGTGGGTAAATATTAATTATGTGTATTCTACCAAATTATACTCTCACTCACTGCTTAATGTTAAATAAAAAATAATTTGGAAAACGGACGTTTATTTTAATTTTTCAAGTTTTAGTTGACAGATGAGAATAAAAATAAATAACACATTAAAGAAAAATCTAGAGGTCGCATACAAAAATAAGCAACTCTTTGATTGATCCACCTAAACATTTGTACAATCAAAAGTGGGTCATATTTGACGTTTATCCTTCTTTATAGAATTTGCTAAGTCGTGTAAAAAATATCTTACATGATCGATAAAGTGAAAGTGAATCAGAATCATTTTACTTTTATTTGCGAACTGTACAACTTTGCATTTTGCTCTACTTGAAAAATTTTGTACTTTTAGTTACCTTTATATCAACCTAAATAGGTTTTTAATGTTATTGCAAAACATTTTCTATAGTTAGGTGGTAATAAAGCGAGTCTTAAACCAGATCTCGTAACCGTTTATTATTAGATCATATAAGTTGTTTATAAAATTAAAACTGTCTTTGATAACTCCACAAAATTATTATTAATGCCACTCCAAAATTTTATATCAAAAATCATTTTTCCAACTATGCTCAAAATTTGTATTATTAAATCATAGTTATGGGATGTCTCAGACATAATTGTAAAAATTACAATATTATTAAGTGCGTAAAGATGTAAGAATTATGAGCCAAAATACAGGGTGCGCCAGAGAAAATTTTCAAGTAAGGTAAGATACTAGGAACATGAAAAAAATGTTTAAAAAATTCTATCTGTCAAAAAATTTTGACATTTATTTTTTGACATTTGACATGTTTTATATCTATTTAAGGATACTGATGATCTTGTATATGTTTTTTTCAATAATTTAGTAAAGGGACAAAAATTTTGCAAATAAAAGCCACAAATAACATTGAACAGAGTTACAATTTAGGATACAGCTTCCTTGTTTCCTCTTTTAACAGCCTATAGCAAAAAAACTTGGAAAATTATTTTTCCAACAGAAATAAATAGAGTCAAAGTGCAAACTTTAAACCCTCATAACTTCGACATTTTTTATAGATAATTTTTTTTTTACATTTTTTCCATGTTCTTGGTATCTTACCTTATATGGCATTTTTCTCTGGGGGCGCGAGTTCTGGTGCACCCTGTATAGGTATTTTTATTAGGTTAGTATTAGGTTTATTTCTGGGATTCCTTATTTAACAATAATATTTAATATTGAAAAAGAGGAATACAAGGTGTATTACAGAAACAACTTTGATTCAAAATATTTAGTGATTTCAGGTATAAATTATGTTTTTTATACCTCTTTATACTTTTTAACTGGCGACAGGAGTTCAAAAATTGGTTTCGACAGATAACTGCCAAGTATTGATTTACCTACTATTCAACACCCTTGATAGACTTTCTTGCATAATGATTGTGTTAATATTTTTGTTTATTTACTTATTTTTATCTTATTAAAGTATGATTTCTTATCAATATTGTTATCTTTACACTTAAATTCTTATCTCACCTTTGATTGTCGCCATTAATGTAATGAGGTACTAATATTATGTCTAAGGTACCTTTACAGAAATTAAAAATATGTACGCATAATTGTTTTTATTGTATTTTGATTATTATAGTTTAAATGTAATGTGATTAATTTCCATCATGAATTCCGAGCATTTCATTTATTATTGTAACCAAGGCAATTAAATTCTTCTTGCTCTTAACAATAGGAGGTCATCCATTTTAATTTCATTCTGTAATAATAAAAGCGTCTTTTTCTTTTGCAAATACTTTAAATCTCGGTCTCCCGTTTTCCTCCATCCTCCCGCCGTCAACTTTTTCCAAGCTTCATATTTCACTCATTAATTAATGTCTGTATTCAAGCGCCCACTATAAGTTAGAACTATTAGTTCCGACCATATTTTACAATTTCGAAGCTGCAACATTAATCATAAGACATGTATCCCTCGAAACTAATTCGATTTTCCTCTCTTTTAGAGTAACAGGAGCCAGCCTGCCATCGGTCTGAAACACACACCAAAGTCAAGGGTAAGTTGGCCAATTTCATTTTCAAATTCGCAACGAGTCACAAAATGATTCCAAAAAGGGATTTGCCCTAAACTCGAGGGCAATACTATTTCCCTCTCCGGCTTAGCATCAGCGCAGGCCGCGTCTGTACAATAGCAATGGCGGCGAGTATATAAAATGACTCATTCCGTCAGTTTCACGGTGTCTGTCGATACGTACGCACGTAGTGTCGCCTTTTTCTATGTTTGTAAACAACATATGAGAATCAAAGCGTGTTTTTAGCGTTTTCTATCAAAAAAATCAACACAATTTTACATTTTCCCGCCCGGCCGATACAAAACAATTGTGTTTGTGTTTCATTTGTTTAAATCTGTGTTGACTATGATTGGAACGTTCGGTTTGTGGTAATTTTGTGAGCAAGAGCGGCAACGGATTAAAGGTATATTTGATTTTTTTTGCAAGAAGCAAGTCACGATTTGGGTTTTTTACTAATTTTTAATTGAACACGGAACAGGAGGTATAAGAGAAAGTCTTGTTCGGTCCAGTATTGTGTTTACTGGCGGAATTCTCGTCTCGTACGAGCAGGTTTTATAAGCAAATAAAATACTCACGACGCACGCTGAACTACCTGTACCTGTTTCGAGTTAGGTTAGGTTTTTGCCACTCAGAAGGGTTGTCTTCATTGGTAAATTCCGAAGGAATAAGTTGTTGGGTTCGGTGAACACGTTTTGATTTCACTTATTATGCAAAAATTAAGTGGAACAGTGGGATAATAAATTTGCCGCTATGGTGCGCAAATGTGCACTGTTGCCAACGATAAATTACGAAAATAAAAACAAACATCAAAAAAGTTTGCCGCTTAGTGTTGAGAGGTGAGACATTAGCAATTATTGTCTTGCCGAGTTATTATTGTTATTATTATTTAAGGAAAGTCCCACGGTGATGAATATTTTGCATTCCTCAAATACCTGTACTTTGTTATTATTACATAATTTATTTGATAAACTTTTGTCTACTTATCTTAATTACAAGATACAGTTTGTATTGTTACGTATTTTAATTATTCTCAAGAGAAAACGAAATACATGTCACTCCAAAATATTGTTAGACAGACCTTGACTTTATATTTTATCGCCTTGACATTATTTTGTGAAATAGATGAATTTTAACACATTTTGAACATGTGTTTTTTAACTTCCAGATTTTCAGATTTCAAGTGCTTTTAGTCAAGAATATTCGTTTTTCCCACGATGAGAAACCTGAGACGATTTTATATTGAGTGGCTAGTTTCTTCTTCATATTTGAAGGCCAAAATTATTATTTCAATTAAAATTTGCATGTGAGGAATCTCAACAACGTAATTACCGAATAACTACAAACAATTAAACGTTTACGCGTCTTGGGGTTGAAATAAATACACAGATGATAAGAGGATTTGTCGATGTGGCATTATGAATGAAGTACGAGAAGCTTTTCTAGTTTCGAGATTAAACAGAGCAAACCTTGAGTTGATTAGATATGAAACAATTCATTCATTCATTATATTATGGTGTCAATAATTTAATAACGGGAAAAGTAAATGTAAATAAACGTAAAAAGATTGTACAGTAATTTTTAGAGAAAAGAATATGTTTAATTTCGATAATTTAGTAATTTGTACGTAATTTTAAATACATAATAAAGTATGAAACTAAGAAGTGTTTTTTTTTAAAGTTTGAATGAATTTTCCAATAAAAAAATGTCTAAATTTTGCATAAATACACAATCATGTAAGTAATGAGTACATATTTTAATAAGTTCTTGTACCTATGTCATATTTATTTTTTACTCTAGTAATTAATGCCAAATAAATTGAACGGTTTGGCAGGTTTTCATGTAAGACGAGTTTCAAGTTTCTTATGTTGGCAAAAATTTTAAATTCGGAAATCTTTTTCTGATAAGAGAATTTCATTAATTTTGATTTTTACTAATCTCATAATAGCAGTGTGACCCCTACCCTTATGGTTACAACAGTCTATAAAGAATACGATCTTGCATTAGATAACCTCTTTGTTAAAAATTCACGAGTTTCGCAAATGTCAAATTCGGTGAAATAATAAAATTATCATTTATAAAAGGTCAAAGTTGTTCCGTCCACACTATCATAAGTAAAACTGTACTTTTTCCGTTGATTTAATCATTTATTATTGTTACATGACTGCAAACCACAATCTCAATATTTGTTTAAATGTGGAGGACATTCCCATCCGGTAATGTCAGAAAACTCTTATCAGACTCACAGTTTTTCTCGTTTTGTGTTATTGGAAAAGTTCGTTTTCCAATCTGATACCCAGCCCGTATTGTGTGATTTTTGCGCGACATTACAATAAATGGCAAAGTCGGGATTCTCTTGCAAGAACGCCTAAACGAACCTTGAGATGTTCATCTGCTGGACAAATTTAACCTCGAATAGTCCAAATGATCTCATGTCGGCCGTAGGTGTATGTTTACGGCATTTTTTAGATCGGTTGGTGTTGGTTTTGAGCTTCTGTGATCATAACGGATTTGTTTTTATTTCATTCGCGTATCGGAAAGGCGTAAGTGGGTTTGTTTGTTGTTTGAGGGACCAAAAAGGAAAAGTGCTGACACAAGAAGTTAGCGTTTTGTTTATTATTTATTTGTGTTTTGATATCGATTGGAACAAGTTGATCAGCATTTTATTTTTTGAGATGTGTTTCAGGCATTTTAGTTTTTGTCTCGGATTGTATTTACGTGCAATAAAATTGAATTTTTCTCAGTGAAAGTCAGGTGCATTTAATTTTCATAAGTTGGACACGAGAGGTGTAGGCGGAAATCTCATCTTATTCAAATATCGGCTTAGCATTTGAAAGGCGACGAAATTTTACAATAACATTTATGAAGTGTCATTAACCTGCTGCAAACAATATTTGCCATTCAAATTCGTTATTTTATTGTTGCTTCTGTCAGTGTCGGAGCATTCTGAGCCGATACAAAGACCTGTTTAAATCAATAATAATCAGAATTTGTGCAAAGGTAACACTCATGTTATTCCCGATTCACGAATTCACCAAGTGAGAGATCCATTGAATGAAATAGTTAGTTCTACGCACAAACGGGTCCTTTACAAAGCAAATATGGAGTTGCATCCTTGTATTAGGGCTATCATTTCACATGTTGCATATTTAAATAGATACTTGCCGTTGTGGATCAAGTAGATAAAAGCTGAAAGCAGTTCTAGTTACCCCTGATGAATATTTGAACGAGTTGGAATGGTGATAAAACATCGAGGGCCTGCCGAGTCGGCGGCCCAGCGGTTCCGGTTGGTGTAAATGACCTTTCCGAAATTGCTTAAAGATGATTTTTTACTTACCTATTTGTTGAGCAAAATGTTAAACAGGATTTTAAATTGCGATAATTGCTTGGTTTGTAGAGGATACTTCTTTTTATGATCTTTTAGATGCCTGGAGGATTATCAACTCTGTTAACTACTCTCGAGATCTTTTCCTAGTTACAGCATCTGTATGTTAATACCGGCGATGCATATCTAACTTAAATAAATTGCAGATGTCTTCTGATATTACTTTTAGATAAATTACAGTATTTATGAATTCACTTCCTGCGGATATTTCATAATGTTCCACGGAATTTTTTATTTGCGATCGGTATGACTGGATGACCATGTTAGTTTGGCGTCATTCGCTCTTTTTTCAATTCCTTTGTGACTCTACGATTTCACTGAATTAATTATGGCCGCCATGTGCTTGATACTTTTTTTCTAACTGGCGTCATGAAATCTACACCAGAGATCTATTTATCGGTATTGAGCAACGTTTGTATATCCTTCTATGGAACTCTAAGAATAGTTGGAAATTATTCAAGTATCTGTATTTTGAGATTTACAAGGTATTCAGAATTTACTTATATAGTAGTACCAGCAGGAATAGCAGGGAGCGTCGTAATTGAATCGCTCCTTTGTGCTGTCAGGTTGCTGTTCACTGCACCATCAAAACACGTAGGCGAGGTACCACCGGTGACACTAAAAGTTTAGATAAATAACTGCCTCATTGTCAATTCTTTTTTACACCTCTCCTACGTCCACATTCTCCATAAAGTGTTAATTTAGGGCTCTGATTTATCGAGTTGGTACCACACATGAGAGACTCCTCCACAAAAAATGCAAATAGTTTCAACCATGTAATTATTTTGTAATTTAGTACTTCTCATGTTAAAGGTTCGTGCTATTTTTTTATCTATTCCTTTTTGTGTAAATTACGGAAATGTTTTTCTTTCGGTAGATTTCACACGAATTTCCGTCAAAAGTGTAACTAAATGCAAACGAGGAAACAAAGGGCAGATATCCTGCAGAAATGGGTCGACGCCACATAAATGTGATTGTTTATATGTCGCTCAGGAATCACGGACTAGTGGTTAGACCTTTATTTTGAGCGGGTGTGATTCTCTGATTAAAAACTCATTAGTTCGGTCTAATCGAATCGCTGTTGGTTGTACTCTACCTTTAACAAGAGTTAATTAACTGCACAGAACGATAATTATAGTGCATGTGGCGTTATTGCAAATAATATGATATGACAGACACGTGTGAGTTAGAGTTTTTGCACTTGGAAATGTCTTTTTAGTTTTTTCCGACTCGAAATTACACACAATGTAAGTAAAATAGACGCGTTTTCCTTGAAATTGATTAGTTGACGCGCTGGTAACTGTCAAGTGCCAATCACTTTTATATGATTCTTGTCAACATCACATAAATAAATTTTAATTGATTTTTCGATAAGTCTAAGAAAGTTTTATCGGTTTAAAACAGGAAATTTAAGTCAACTGTCTAGACCGCCAAACTGATAAAACTAACGGCTTTCAAGGGAGATGTCTCATCCACCATTATACTACATATAAAAATACAAAATTTGTTCACATGACTCACCAACAATTTCTGTTGTTCTGAATGTATAATTAGCTGTGAATCATTGATAAGTAAAATAATTCCAAGTTCACGATCAAAATCT